TAGAAGAGACAAAGACATACGAGGTGCCATATAATAAACTAAGTGAGGGTAACTACTGTAAATAGTCAGGGCAGGGGAGCCATCAGCGGAGGTGGAGAGTTGTGTTCACCGCTTGGAGGGAGGCCAGCCGTCCGGGCTATTCCTGTAGTCTGCTGACCCGTGCTCGAGTACACCATGTCTGCTCTTCGGGAATGGGGGTCAGTGAGGTCGGCTACCGGGGAGGTCGGCAGCGAGGGGGGTCGCGGTCCCCTAAATATAGGTCACGGGGTCGTAAAACGTCGAACAGGGATAGTAAAACCTTAAATAGAACCAAAGTCAAAGGCCCGTTTTATATGCGGGGGCGGGGTGGCCGAATAGGCTAAAGCGTGTGTAACAGCACCGCTAGTTGCCTGGCAACCGGATAATAGAGATTTGAGATGATATAAAAAGTACGAGTTGGCGTCCCGGTGCCGGAGGGGATTTTAAATTCCCCGCCCTCACCCCCCGGCCCGGGAAAATCCCGTATAGCCTAAAAGGCGAGGTAGGGAAGAACAAAAAAAAAAAAAAAAGGCCCGTTTTATATCCTCAAATCGCGGCGACGTTCATTGTGTATCGCTTCGGACCTACGCACTAACATTCTCATATCACATGCCTCTACTGTACCGATTTAAAACACTTAATAAGATAACTGCTATTAAAAAGTCATTGCTTTCAACAGAAAAAAAACTTCTGGTAATCGGTTTCGTTGACACTTTAAAATTACTATAAAACATCAGGAGTGCTCCCTAAGGATGATGGTGCCTATCCTGCTCCTTCACCCCAAGAATTTTATTCTTCTCATCTTAAAAACAATGAAAGCAAAAGTAAACTTGGAAAAAATGCAGAACGATTAGATAGAACGTCTATTCCATCTTTTCACCTTGTTCCTCGGATTAACAGTTTCTCCAAATTGACACCCCACTAAAATATAATTAACTCAAAAAAAGATGTATACAATCAAAAACATATGCCCTTCTCCCCTCAAAAGTTTCAACCCCCGTTGCTCTCAAAAATGTTGATGACATAATTTGTGCCACGGGCGGATCTACGGAGGGGGGGAGGGGCTTTCGGGCTGAAGCCTCCCCCCAAAATAGTAAAATATAACCAAGTTTTATGGAAAAATATATTAAAAAATTATATCTTAAAGTATGATTTTTTGTGTAATTACATTTTAAAGGACTTAAGGAATCACTTAAACACCATTTCATATAGATATTTAGTTTTATTTCTTTTTTTCCAAAGTAATTATCCTCATTTTTGTGGAAAAAAAAAGCTTTCGGGCTGAAGCCTCCCCAAAATTAAATTCTGGATCCGCTAGTGATTTGTGCCGTACAATCCTCTTCAGGTCACCTCTGATAAACATAGTGCAAAACAATTATTTAACAATGATTTATAAACAAAACAAAATCTCATGAAGCTCACGGTCTATTATTGAATAAATATTTTTAATATGCTCATATCTCTTCGAAAAAGTGTATTTAACATTTTTAAAAAAAAGTCAACTATTCTATAAAACTCTCTACTTACAGTTTTGCACATTGGGCTCATATTTTCTTCAAGACAAGTAAACGATATGTCTACCAGCACAAAGCTATTGATAACCCCATGAACGTATTGGCTGTTATCAAAACATTCCTTCAATTTGAAAAAGCGGAAAGTATTTCTATTTTAACCTCACCTCATGTTTGATTTATTCTGTTACTCCAAGTTTTATTTTATTTTATTTGCTTATAATCTTGTTGTTCTTTTATTGTATATATGGTATGATATATATGGTATATATGATGGTATATATTGGATCATATATGATATGATAGATGGTATGGTGTACTTCATTCATCATAAATACTCAATGCCCTTAATTGAGGCAAAATGTATTTTTTTTTTCTCAATAAAAATTGTTCATTAGAAAAAAAAAAAAAATTTAACCACAACAGACAATAACTTCCAGTTACTTATAAACTGAATGCTTCAACGTGGCGATTTTTAGAACATCAACAACATATTACGTATTTTATTTTTATCTCTCATGAGTGTCGCGGTGTTTTTTTAATATACTCTGTGATTCCTTGTCTACTTTTCAAATAAAGGTTTGGTCGATGTAGTTTCGGCAGTTTATTTTTTTATATATTTTTTATTTTTTTTGTAAATATACATCTATGAGAGAACTAAGTAATATTAATTGAAAAAATCATAACCTCTACAACAAAAGAATCATACACAGTCAGTGAAATAAGCATATATTTAAATCGTAGAGACTGAAAATGACAAAATCTCCTAAATTCGATGTCTAGGATAGTGCTAGAAGACATTTCATGAGTTACATTTTAGCCCGACTATAAAATACTCAGTTATTTTAAATGTAATGTGATTTAAAATATTCCCATATTATAAATTCTTACTTAAGAAATAGATATTATTTAATTATAAAATATAGGATAATATTGTTGGATAACAAATTGAAAATGATAAATTGTTGAATTGTTAAAATATTGTACAATCAATAAGAAATATTCCACTAACAAGTAATTGTTATATTTAAAGAAACATATAAAATGCACATTTTATCTAACGTGTGGCTGGATCATTTCCGAAATAGCAGGTAAACTAACATGGCCAACAAACAACAAATTTGAAATGACATTTTATTGGCAACTTTCCACCGAGGTGTCACATCAGATTGGTTCAAGCTGAGATACAATTCTAAAACTAAGTTTTTTTTATTTATACAGAAAATATAAAAATATTATTCATATATAAATCAGTCCATCTCCATAAATACATATCTCCTGTCATCTCAATTATTGCTTTTTGAGCTTATTTACCCATTTGACATTTCATGTCATTACATAAAACTGTAAAATGATGTTTAATATTGAACAAATTAATGTTATATATATATATATATATATATATATATATATATATATATATATATATATATATATATAAACGGTTTTGACTACTGATGACTGTGACAGAATTTAGTGCTCCATGTGCAATAGCTGCTGTACAATAAATGAAAAACATGTTTTTCTATAGTCTGTAACGCGAAAACGTCTAGAACGATTTTGATGAAACTTTCCTATAATGGACTAAATTCCCGAGAAAATTCAGCAAAAAAGTTACAAAGCAGAGAAAAAAATATATAATATATTATATGGTAAAATTTATAATAAGCTTTAGTCTCATGTTTTTAAAGGTATTAAAATTCCCTACAAAACTATATAAAATCGTTCATTTTGGACAACTGTTAACGAAGTTACATACTAGCTATTCAATTTTTAATGTAAGATTACGGGTTCATATCCTGGTGTCAGAAAGTGGTGAATGAGAGAAAAAAGATGACTAAGTGAAAGCAAGAAAATCCGTTGTCCGTATCACACAAGCTTCACTATTTCCTCTATTTCTAATAGAAATTACCGTTTGACAAAATGAAGCTATGGCAAAAAGTTTTTGATCAGCAATATCAAAGGGTATAGAAATGTTTCCACTGATCCACTAGCGGATCCAGCATTTAATTTTGTCCCCCTGAAAGCTTTTTTTTTTATATTCATAGAACGATAATTAATTTGAAAAAAAAGAAATAAATTAATTATCTATATGAAATGGTGTTTAAGTGGTCCTTGAAGTCCTATTACAAGAACAAGAATACTTTAAGAGATAGGTTTTAATATTTTTTTCTGTAAAATATGGTTACATATTACCATTTTGGGGGGCTTCAGCCCGAAAGCCCTCCTTCCCCTCCCCGTAGATCCGCCTGTGCACTGATCTACCTTAAGCTGGTATACATTACATTAGTTTATCAAATAAATCGTACTGAAATCTTTTCTTTGATCAATTTTCAACGAAATAAATTTAATTCAATTTTTTTTTTTTTTTTTTTTTTGTTTCTTGATGTACATATGTAAAGATATAAAAACTTTTCTGAAATAGGTAGGAAAGTCGTGTGAGTGGACACACCATATTTTTTACTTACCTATATATGTAATATATAGTAAGGGTAAGGAATGCGATCGTAAAAATTTTTGAATCTGAGTTTTCAACGGAAATACACGTTTTGATGTCCCCTGAATCCAAATAACCAAGTCCCGCAAAATGGTCTGTGTGTGTGTCAGTGTGTTAACAGTCAAGCTCAAAAACGAAAAGTCGTACTGATGTGAAATTGTATGTTTAAGGTTTTCATATGCTAGGGATGTTACAGTAACTTTTACATCAAAATCGGCTAACCGAAAGTGGCACTTTATATAATGAACTAAACATATTTTTACGATTATCTCGAAAACACCTATAATGTTTTTGATTAAATTCATCATATCGGTTTAAAATTAAGCACTTTTAAATAAAATGTGATTATTATTCTGATTGATGTTCTCTAACAGGGCTTAAATGGCTAATTTTCAATATTAGGTTTCTCTAAAGTACCTTTAATTTTTTTTATTAGAAACAATTCAGCACTTCACATTAATTTCTAATATGAGATATTAGACATTAATGTGATTAGACAATTTATTGATTATACTACGGACTCCGACAATATTACATAAATATGCGGTTTTCATAAATGCTATTGTTGGTATTATTTAATATTTAATAGTATATATTACAGCGATATAATAATAAATTTTGTATATATGAGGGTAATTATACAAATAAAAATACCCACAATGAAATATAAATAAATGTAGAGTCTATAATTATTACTTTCACTTCGCATTGTCTGAAAATACTTATTTCTGCTAAGAAGAGGATGGAAATTGAAAGATTTTTTTTTTAAGAAACCTAATCATAAAAATGTTTCTAAAAAATTCATTTAGGATGCTTCTTTTATTACGTACTCATAATACTTAAGAATATGACATGCTTAGAAATAAATTAAAACATTTGATTAGCTTTAATTGTTAAACATTATATGAATTCGAGTTAATAAGATTGTTATGATTAATTACAAGTTAGTTAATAAATTTTTTTTTATTTTGCAGGGGAAGGTGGTGCCTGGGTGGGGCGGTTATAATGGCGCTAACCACGCATACACGAAGTACATTGCCAACATCCCGCCTATCGCCCCCGACAACATAGGTAAACAGTTAAGTTCCACCACCGTCCTTCCATCGAGTTAACTCAAATATAATTTTATATGTTAAGTGATATGTTATTGATTATTTCATTATTATATTTCGTTATATTATAAATGTATGACGGTTCCAGGCGATCTCACCGAAGCTTTGAATGACCTCTGCCTCAATGAAAAATGCTACAAACAACCGCCGGCGTCCTACCTGTGCCACCTCTGCTTCAGCAAGGGGCACTACATCAAGGACTGCCCCATGGTGAGTGAACTTTTACTGTACAATTTATTGATTGATTCAATCCATTAATCAATAAACAAAAATTAATATTTTTTTATAAAATTCACTCAATAAATTTTATCGGTTGGTCGATTATAAATCATCACGCTTAACATTTTTCGGTATAAATCCATGAGATAATATGAGTATAATATAACTTTTAACATTTATAAAAAATAATAAATATGTATTTTAACATTGGCTAGTTATAGGTATATATTGACAGGGGTGGTTAACCCCCCCAATGTCGGTGGCGCAAGAACTTCTTTCCCCTTCTTTCACCTTTTCTTAAAAACAAAGCAAAGGAAAGTAGAATTAGAAAAATCATATATCATATACAATTACACTGCAGTTTGTTCCATGTTTTCCACTTGTCCCTTATTCTGGAACTTTTCATTCCTGGAAATTCATAATCCCTTTGAAAAGTCCTCCTCCCCACAAAAACCCGTCTAAATACACCCCCCCTCAAAAATTTTGAGAGCCCAACTTGCGCCCAAAACCCCCTTTTATTGCATATATTAATCGCAAGTAGTTTAGTCCGATTAATACCGATGTTCTACGAAGCAAAAGGTAGTACATCAAGTACCTAAACCATTAGGGATCCGGAGTGGATTAATGTCTCCCTATTAATGGTCCCCTAACAAAAAAAAAAATAAATTAAGATTAATTTTTAGATTAACCCTTACAAGGGACGAGGTGGCCGAGGGGAGCGTTTGCAATACATGCCTTGAATACCTGAGTCCGAGTGCCGGGGAATTTTACTTCGGCATCCCTCCCCCTTTCCCATGGTCGGGGAAAAACCTCGTATAGCCAAAAATGCAAGATAAAAGATGATCCACTCTGACAGGCAGATACATCATTCAAGACAAGGTTAAGTTCAACAATTTCCAGCTTAACAATTACAAACTTATTTTAGTTCTAAATACAACATATAGAACGTAGTCTAGATAGCATAGTAAAAAATGTAGTCATTGTTTGAAATAAAGCATTCCTGACATGTCAAACATTAGAAAATACGTAGAAAATAATCGTATATATCGGGGGTCTCCTGACAACGGCCCGCGAACCGGATGCAGCTCGCAATCACCTCCAATTCCGCTGGTGAAAGTTTCATTGATTATTAAATAAGCGGGTATCTGTTAAACAAAAGACATTAATCTTCAACTCTACGGCGAGGGCTATGATATGTTATGGAGGCTACCAAGAATTCGAGGAGATTGAAAAACTAAAGAGGTATTATCTAAAAAAGATGATTGGGCTCCCAGATAATACTCCTAAGTACATGCTATAATGCTAAAATTGCACATCGAGTATATAATAAAAGTGTTGAAAATGGATCACCAACGACTTCCGCATGTCATAGCTAAATTAGTCATCGAAAAGAATCTAACATGGATGAGGGCACTGAGAGTAGGATAGGAACAAAATGTTACATTTCTTTCACCAAAAAAGATCTGCTGAAGGATTCAAAACATGACATTTTTCTTGAAAACGAAAGCAAGAGAAAATTAATGATAACATTAAGAGGGCAAGATCAGTAGAATATCATAAAATGTATGCCAAATTACAATATAATTGTGGATATTTTCGGTAGAATGATTACAATTTACATTTCATTCGGCTAATTTTTAAAGCGAGAGGGGTACTCTTCAATCTAAATTACCACCCGTGGCAGGATAAAAGGGGAAATTGTTCTTTGTGCAATATGAATGCACCAGAAGATAACTTTCATTTTATATCGGTATACCCACTACTAAAAGAGATCAGAATAGAATTTTTAAGTATGCATCAACTAAATTTTATGGAAACGATAAAAATTTTAAACGGCACAGATTATAGAAATCTTTATTTGTATTTAAGAACATCCACTAATTATAGATGTGAATTAGTTAGAGAATATAATTTAGAATATGAGGTATCTAAGTTTATGTTCATGTATATTTGAACATTATGTAGGTATATTTATATTTTTATATTTAGAAAGAAATTTTAGTTAAAATTGAGATTTTTTTTTAATTAAGTAGATAATATTGCAATTGAAATCTTGTTATATTAAAACTTTGAATTCTTAAAAGATAAGATATCTCCACGAATAAACTAGGGGAACATCCCGACATGAGTTGATTGTCGATAAATCTTTCGATTGTATGTAAAAACAAAAATATGATATTATGAACTTTATAAATAAATAAACACTTCTATATATTAAGATGTACCCGATATGGGGGAAATCACGCTAGAAGGCGCCGATGGATACCTACCATGCCTGACATATCTCTTATTTAAATATTATTTAAGCATTTCATTTGACACAACTCCGATTTCAACATTTTTTATTATTATTTTTAGAGAAATTTTTTTTGGGAAAATCTACACCTTTATTCGCAGTTCTATATTTTAACACTGCCATCACCTATTCTGGAATCATCTTCCTCACTCTCTGTACAGATATTATAAATTTCCTAACTAGAAATATCACTAAAATGACTACTCAAAAATATCCAAATTGGAGTAAGTCGTTCTGTCATTCTATTTACAGAAAATACTTGTCGTGATGTAAGTAACATATGAGGATATAAAAATAAAATTATAAAAAAATACATATGTAAATATGCACATGTACCCAAAGCGATGTCAGATACAGGCTGATCGGGTACGAGCTCAGAGCCTTAACACTTAACCCTCCGGAAAAAGATCTACTGACACACCGATCAAGCAGTTATTTTTACACTCTCTTGCATCTGGTATCCTCTTCCATTGCTCAGATTCCCACCTCCAGGTCGAGGAAGGAGCTCGTGTCAAAAGGTGGCCATCTGGTTGATGTTTCTGGCTGGATGTTCCTGGCAATCGGCCAGCAGACCTCGCGGGCTCCATAATTTTATGCAGGTGTATTAAATAAAAAAGAAAATCTATAGTGAAGTGCTTCAATAAGTAAACCACTTTCCTCATATCTCTCGTACCCGAGTTCGAGACCGGCTTTGGAAGAAAATTATTTATTCTGTTATGAGCCGAATCGGGAGACCATGCCATGTAGCACTCAGAACCTTAAGTGTAATTCAAGCCAAATCACTTTCTGGGTCGAAATTATCGTGGGGATAGTAGTAGTATTTCCATACCCAAATATTATTTGTGGTTGAGTTACGGAAAATTTCCCAACGTGTTTGATTCGTTCTTTAAGAAACACGTTTCACAACCAAACTATTTAACAAAATAACGATAAAGAAACGAAGGGTATGAAATAAATTAGGCAATTTCATATTAATATAATCAGGGATTCCCTTCCTCCGCAAGATGGCGATGGCGTATTTTCAAGCACTGCCTCTACTACTTGTATCCTAGCAGCTAAATCTGAGTAATTAGAGAATATCGTCAAAAACAAACTTTCTAAGATTTGTACAATAAACATTTGGTTAACTGATCATTAATACTAACATTAACATTAGATAACATTCTATGAATGGCCAATTGAATCATTGCTGTCGAATTGTTGTTTACACACAGAGAGCTATTAGTTATAAAATATCCTTTGTACATTAAGATTCTTATTGTAGCATGATTTCTGGGACACGCCTGTTCACACAAAATAAGATGTAAATTATCAAAATAAAATTTTAACAAATTTACCGAGCAACTTCAGAAAATCTCCATCATCTGTACTTATAAAGAGAATTGTAGAAGAAATATTCTCGAACTTCACGATTCAGTAACTAAAAACGATATTTTTGAATTGAGGCTTGATGTTACAGGTGTAGATCAATTTAAATAAAAAGATGTATCCTTGTATATTTATTATTCTTCGATGAATGGTTTCGGTCATCAGGATGATTTGCGACGATTCTCTTCACTTGATTGTCAATTGAAGACAAATGGAGTTCTCAACTGATAAGTAAACGTGAATGACCATCGCAAATCAGCCTGGAGAAGATCTAATGACGATAACCGCTCGCGAAATAATATATATATATATATATATATATATATAAACATATGTTATAAACTTATCTTAACTAGTCGAATCATGGAATACGCCGAGTAAATTATCGGAGAATATCAATGCGGATTTAGAGGGAACCGTTCAACTATTGATCAAATATTTTCTTTACGGCAAATATTAGAGAAAAACCTTGGGTACAACTGTGTTGTTATCCAGCTGTCGATTTCAAAAAGGATTACGTTTCTATTGACCGCCAGAAACTAGTCAGAATGTGCTTGACAGGAAGCACATACCGAAAAAGAGTTGGATCTGAGTGGGACAACACCCGTGCTTGGCTATGCGGATGATCTTGTCCTATTAAGCGAAGACTAAATACGAAAGCGTTAATGAAAGGCGGTAGAAAACTAGGGCTCGAAACAAACACGGATAAGACAAAATATAAGGTTGGCTGCTCAAATGGCGATATTGCCGGTGATATTGATATAGAAGGTAATATGTTTGAACACGCAGAGAAGTTGAGGTATCTAGGGTCTACAATAAATAGATAAAACGAAATTATAGAGGAGATTAAGATTAGATTGAAGACGGGAAATGCTCCTTATTTTTCTGTGACAAAATTACTTAGCTTGCGCCTCTTGTCCCGGAACTTAAAAACTAGAATCTATAAAACGATTATCTTACCTACAGTTCTTTATGGATGCGAAGTGTGGCCGCTTACATTAAGGGATGAACAACGGCTTAGGTTTTTGAAAATAAAGTATTGCGTAGAATATTCGGGCCGAAGGGTCGTTATCGTGGTCCTTCGCCAGCAACCTCATGGTATCCTACTGCTTGGCTCTTCTGTGCCTTTTTTATTTCATCCGTGTTTTTCGGTTTTGACCTTTTGACATCTGAATTTCCTAGATTCTATTTCTCCATTCATCCGTATAATATCTCACCGAACAATTTGAGCATTTTACTTTACAGGGTCTCCAACATTGGTGGCACCTTAATATAATATCCCCAGAAATCCCCGTTTGTTTCAGGTGCGATCTCATACGGTTCGACG